GCCAGCATTCTGCCTCCTCCAGCGAGTTGTAATGGTCGATGTGTTGTGTCTGGGTTCAAACTGGGCTTCTTTCTGAGTTTTAAATTCATATGGAAAGCTCTATGCCCTCCAGCACAGACAGGAGAGCATCCTAAACCAGGGAGAGGGGATTGCTTGATCTTCCAGAAACAAAAGAGGAAAGACTTCTAGGGAGATGATGGAATTTAAGGATAATAGGGTTTGGGCCCTTTGATAATGTATGTTATATTATTTGCTTTCAAAGCTATTTTTGTTCCATTTGTTTATTCTGCCTGGATTTGCTAAGACAATTACAGTCCATATGCCAGCAGGGCATGGCATTATCAGCAGCATTCTAGGGGATTTCTCTGGTCTGGAGAGTTTCTGGCAGGCTGGCACCAGGCATGCCTCCCCGTGCTCAGAAGTAAAAGCTTTTTCAATCCACTAACGCTCTGTTGCCAGAGGCTAGTCAACATTTTACATGCCTGTGGGCCTTGAACATGCACTCTGGGTGGAAATATATGTATATCTTCTAATGAGACATTAAATTGTACGTAAAGCTGGCCAAAAGAAAATTGTGTCTGTCCCCCTAGGAGGTGATGGTAAATTAGATCCACTGTGTGAAAAGGCCAGGATAGCCGTGCTGCAGGCCTACTGATCTCCTCATGGAACAGCCGCCTCGAGTTGGCAGAACAGCAGCTGCCCCCAACCGTTCTGTAACGCAGACAGAAGTGGCCGTGCTGGGGCAAGGACACTAGGCTCTGCCGATCATGACAGGGCAATGCCAGCCTGTCCTCCAACTTACATAGCATCGGGTCTCACCTGCCTGCACAGGGGCCCAGAAATAATAAAACCACATAATTTGCAGCATCAATCCATCTCAATCCATAGGGAGAGTCCTCCAATATCAGGTACACATTGAGCTGAAGGAAATAATAAAATGCAATCTAATAACAAGGTGCCATCCTTTACTAATAACACATAGTTGCCAGGAGCGTTTAGAGTCCATTCTACAGTAAGTGAAGAGCTAGCAACAGGTGAGATGAAAGAGGGGCTGGGGGAGGAGGTAGGTGGGAGGGGTGGGACTAGAGGCCTTTGAAAGATTGAACCAAAAGTTAGTATCAATATTTGAAAAGCTGGAAAAAAAATATTTAAAAAGCTGGCTATTCCTACACACTTATTTCTGGCTCCTGATGGAAAAATATTTAAAATTACTAATATAAAATTTGCTGAAATTAAATTCTCAGTTATTCTCATTTAAAATGAGAAAGTGACCTGCCTTTTTCGGCATTAGCCAGTCCAACAGGATGTACTAAGAAGGACCCGAAAGTGCCTTGGGCAGAACACAGAATGGCTCCCCCGTCCCTTTGGAGGACAACAGAGTCCAGTAGAGTTAAAGATGCCTTTAGCTACAGTCAGTGTCAAAATCATTTGTGTCAAGATAATTTTTTTCATACTTTCAGGTCCTATGCACGAAACTGCAGTATGTATTCTTTTTATGAATTTCAGATTATTGTGAAGGTACAATTAGGTTACAATGTTTGCGTTTGTTAGGCAGAGTCCCTGCTGGGCAGTATAAATTCTTAACTACAGGGTAAAGGAGAGGGAGAAATGCAAATACTGATCCAATGAGTTCAATGTGAGGTCAAGGTGAGAAGTCCTCATGCTTTTAGGAAGAAAGCCATCCTCCCTAAGACCAGACCCTGGAGTCCTGGGTACCTGTGTGGAAAGTAGGCCTTTCAGAGCCTTCTAAGGCAGGGCTTCAGGCAAGCTCTGAGAGGCCCCAGCTGCCTGGCAACACCTGGGAGCAATCCTAACCACCCCGCAGGCAACCTCAAACCCTCCTACACCCTAGAACCTCAAAGGCCAACAGGGGTAAGGTGAAACCACTTAGATTAATACGAGTTGTCTCTCACTGGTGATGAAATACAGGATTTTAAAACCCTCTCTCAAGCGTCACTTTTCAGAGTTGACTTGGAGACTGTGAATCACTTCGAACTCTTTGGAAATATTGAATCATCATCCTACTGAGAAACTGAGGTTTATACGAGTTCTCCCTCCCAGTGTCTGGCCCTGGTTTTCACACCTCTTCAGTAGCCCTAAATTTAGTCCCTTTTTGTCACAGGCCAGCTTAAGTTACTATAGAAGTAACATTCTATCCTTGTTTCAATATGAAGATTTTGAAGAAATGGAGAGATCCATTTGCATTAAAGAACGATGAAAAAAATAAGGTAATGATAACATACAAATTCAATAGCATTTTGGTATCTTTGAGTTTGCGTGTCTTCTGCATATGTATGAATAGTCACAGAAGGATCAACATATACTGAAATTAACTTCACCCATTCGAGGTCACATTATCTGTACACAATTCTGTACCCTTTTAGAAACAACATTGTATGTTGAGCCTTTTCTTATGATCCTAAAGCATTGGCTGACAATCTGAGCGGTCTGCCTCGAATCAGGAAATTTCTGCCTCCTTGAGCAGTGATTCCTATTTTCACTGCCAAAGCTTTTTCTGTCGAGAACTTGCTAGCTTTCCCTGTCTGCAATCTGCGGAGTAACTTCAGCTCCAAGGACCAGAATTCCATCTCCTCTGACTCTGCAAACCTGACATTGAATTGTAGTGAGTGCTCCCCTCGTCAGCCCCCCTGCCCTTGTCCACATCCTCCCCCACCCCCAGTCTGTAACTGCTCTGACCGTGCCAAGTTTCCAGGAAAAACATATGAGTTGGCCAAACCCAGATAAAAACAAGAAAATGCCAGTCCAGGTCTCTGACATCAGGCATGGAGAAATATTCTTCCCAAACTGCTTGAAAAGGCAAGTGGAAAAGAGCCTATCAGATAGTGGTTTAGTCAGGCAATTAGGGGAGACCGGAGCTCAATCCCAAGCAGCCTGGAGCCCACACAGCATCCGGGCAGCAGCGGGCTAGGAGCCACCATGCTCATATGGGAAGTCAACAGCGCAGACAGAGTAGTGAGTGCTGGAGATGCTGCCTTGTGGGGAGCAGACACCCAGGATTACAGGGGTGACCACCACTCAGCTCCGGTGAGTTTCTGTGCACAAGGCAGGTCTGCTGGTATCACTCTTCTGAATATTTCCAGGAAAGCTAGAAATCTGGATTTTTTTCTTTTTTAGAGACAGAGTCTCCCTCTGTTGCCCTCAGTAGACTGCTGTGGTGTCACAGCTCACAGCAACCTCCATCTCTTGGGCTTAGGCGATTCTCTTGCCTCAGCCTCCCAAGTAGCTGGGACCACAGGTGCCCGCCACAACGCCCAGCTAGGAAATCTGAATTTCTATTTGAAGCTTGTTTTGGTTTTAGAGACAGGGTCTTACTCTATCATCCAGGCTAGAGCACAGTAGCACAACGGTAGCTCCTTGCAGCCTAAAGTTCCTGAGCTCAAGACATCCTCCTGCCTTAGCCTCCTGAGTAGCTGGGACTACAGGTGTGTGCCACCATGCCCAGCTAGTTTTTCTATTTTTTTATTTTTAGAGATGGAGGATGGAGTTGGGACCCTATGTTTCCTAGGCTGGCCTCAAACTCCTGGCCT